AAATTGAAGTTGCAGCGCATCGCGTTTTGGCAGGAGAACCAGTGCTTCCGGAAGCCATTGTTCATGGACCGGAACAAAGGTTCCAGGATGAGCGCGTAGCAGACCCGGTCACAGCACCAGCGACGCCACGTCCAGTGGCTGCAGCTGCCCCGCTTACACCGGCAGTCGCGCACGATGTGCCTATGCCAGCACCATCGACGCCAGCGATGATGCCCGGCACACCGATGCCAGCGCCATCCACGCCTGCGAGGTTTCGCGCCAAAGATAAGACGGGCGAAACCGCCCGGTCGCGATCGCCAGTAGGAGGCCGTGATGATGCACTAGTTGCGGAAGAGATTGATCAAGTAGAGATCATGGCAAAAGGCCTGATAGATACTCAGGGTTTTTCCCCGGATGAGTGTCTGGCCCTCCTTCGTGCCTATGACCGCGACCGACGCGAGGCTTACACGCGCCCGCTCCTAGATGATGGAGATCCCGGGTGCATAGCCCTCGCGGTGGGAGTATATCGGCACGGTGGTCTTGTTGGAGTTTCTGGACCAACGCGCGAGAGACCGTCGTTTGCCATGTACCTCAACCACTACATCTTGCATCACAGTATGCAAGCCGGTCATCACCTCCCACAGTGGAGTAGCGTTCAGCTTACCAACAGAGGCGCAGAGGCCCATAGAGACCTAGCGAACACTCCTGGCTCGCATAACTACACTATAGGTGTGGGCGAGTATCGTGGAGGCGGTCTATGGGTGGAAGAAGCCACGGGTACAACCCCCGTGCGTGTTCAAAACACGACAATGTACGGCACCGTCCACGATACTAAGAACAAGGTTCTTAAGTTTCGCCCGAAGGACGTGCACATGGTCGCACCGTTTGTAGGAGAAAGATACAGTCTCTCCGCATACACGGTGAGTGATCTCGGCAAGTTGTCTAAAGATGACATACAGCTTTTGTCGGACTTAGGCTACCCCATATATAGGGATGCGCCCAACACCTTTGGCAGGAAAGGCGATGGGATATACACCATGGGTCACTCTGATCTTCCCATCGAGACGTTCCTAGAGCGCATCCACGAGTACGGGATTAGGGAAATCGTAGATTGCAGAAGCCATCCGTACAGCGTTCGGCATCCACAATACAATTGTGATGAGCTTTCCGCCACATGCTTTGCAAAAGGGGTTGTGTACAGTCACGCCCCCGAGTTAGGCAACAGGAATCGGGGCGGGATTGAAGCCAACCTGCAAACAGACCAAGGGCTCTGTACGATCGCTAGAATAGTTAGCGAGGCCCACGATGACTTCCACCGAATACTTCTGTTGTGTTCGGAGGCCAGTTGGCGGCGATGCCATCGGCGAAATATCGCCCAGCACATATGGCTCGAGCATACGAAACTTGCCGAGCACATACGTGCTAACGGACTGTCAGAAGCCCATCCGTGTCACTACATTCCTGAGGAAGACGACGGACTGGCAGCAGCATCGCACACAGCTGCGACTGGCACGACTGTGCCAGCAGCTGAGCCCTCGGATAGTCGAGCGGCGGAATCCAAGGCCTTTGCTCTCACCCCAGATGGGGAAGACGCCATCGGCTCTAATGTCGATGCTGGCTACATGGCCTCGCTCCTGGATTACCACAAAGCTCCTGTCGAAGTACAGCTGGGGCTGGATGCTGCCATGAAAACTGAATGGCAGAAGTACACTGAATTCAACGCAGTGGTTCCTTGCACAGACAAGGAGTTCAAGGAGCTTACAAAGGCTGGCCACGTGTGCATCCCCACCAAATGGGTCCTCACCGATAAGAATGAACACCTAAAGGGGACGCCAGCATACACTCCCAAGTGGAAAGCACGCTTGGTCGCATGTGGAAACTTCGAGCATATCTCGAATGAGGAGGATATCAGGGCAGACAGCCCCACGGCCGAGCCGGAAGGCATAGCCCTTCTGTGTTCATGGGCGGTTTCATTGGCCCTGCGGCTCAAAGCAGCCGATATAACGAACGCATACTTCCAAGGGAAACCCCTTGAGCGCCTTCTCATTCTTCGGGTTCCTAAACACCCTAAGGGTGTACCCGATGCAGAGATTCAGCGAGCCGGGCATATGATTGCCCGAGTACCCGTGTATGGCACGACCGACGCGGGTCGGAACCTTTATCTCCGCATAAAGGAGAGTGCCCGCGAATTTGGCTTAAATGCCTCGCAAATTCTGTCAGCCCTGTACTATATTACAGGAGAAGGTGGTCGTTTGTGTGCTTGCTTGTGCACCCACGTGGATGATTTCCTGTGGGCTGCTACTGCCGAAGGCGAGCCGGCTATCCAGAATCTGCTGGATAAGTTTAAGATCGGTCGCATAGAGACTGAGAAGTTCCGTTTCTGCGGACGCGAGTATGTGCAAAGCGCCGATGGGACCATCAGTATAAACTGTAGGGACAACACGCGTGCAATTCGCCCGATCGATATTCATAAGTCTGAAAAGGGCACGACTCCAGTCTCGAATGGCCAGCGCACAGCGCTGAGATCCGTCATAGGATCGCTGGCTTGGGTGGCTCGCGCCACGAGACCTGATCTTGCCTATAGGGTGAATGCCCTGCAGCAGCGTGTTACGACAGCCACGGTGGATACACTCCGTGAGGCAAACCGCGTAGTAGCACTGGCGTTAGGAGATGCGGATAGGCCGATCACGTACAGCGCTAAGTTACCCTGGAATACAGGGGAGCTGGCGATTGTCACGTTTTGCGACGCCTCCTTTGCAGGAGAGGCAAACCATAAGTCGCAGAGAGGTCGTTTCCACTATCTCACTTCCGCACAGTCGGCGGTGGACAAGAACGCGTCAACGCATGAGATGCACCTCATTTCGTTTTCCTCGTCCACCATGAAACGGGTTTGTCGCGCCACACTTCAGTGCGAGGCTTACTCGTTGCAACATGCGATAGAGCATGGAGACCGCATTCGAGCAGCAGTGCTCGAACTGCTCGGCAAACTGCCCCGGTCACAGAACTGGGAAGAAGTTGCCAAGAGATCGATGTTCCACCTGCAGTATACGGACTGCAGGTCCCTTTCGGATCACTTGACTGCGTCGATTCCAAAATCATGCGAGGATAAACGCCTTGCCATAGAGATGTCTGGACTCCGCCAAGGACTTTGGGAAGAGGACGAGCTAACGCACGCTTTGTACCATCCTTACGGCGACGAGTTGAGATGGATACCGACGCATTTACAACTTGCGGATTGTTTGACTAAGAGTATGAAACCGCTTTTGATCAATCACAGCATTGATCGCAATCTCGTTCAGGTGCTCGATGTGCCCGCGCAAGCCGCACAGAATGTCGAGAGTACCTAAAGCACTCCGCTTTACGATCGAAGAACTCAGCCTGGAGCCTTGAGTTGCCGCACTCGGCTCGGTTGACTGCGCAAGCTCCCGGTATAATCCGGTGAAGTAGGCTTGGTCCAAAGCGGCCATAATTCGAGCATGATTCGGACGTCACACTACAGATAAGACGGGTGTGAAATTTCCCTGTCTTGAAGCGCCGTGTTGACATGTCCTCATGCGTGAATAGTTTTTGAGACAGTTCTGAACGCACCCTATTCGACAGACGTCTTGGGCTCAGACCAAAAAGTGCGCTCGTTGTGTGGTTGGACACTCACTAATCCAGTTCCTGCTTCAAAACCCTAAACTTACCTTAAACCTTAAGCTTTGATTGCCAGGTAAAGGCTTACCTTAACCCCACGTAACCTACTTTTTAAGGACTTATATAATGAAATCATATTAGGGAACCCTAAAAAGGTAGGTTCCTTAGGGTCCAGGTAGACCTTACAGTACATCAGATCAGGGTTCCTACCCTAATGTAAAGTATATTCCTTAATTGAGGGGCTTTGGAGTCTCTGGGGAGCCCTTAAAAGGAATCCCAAAGGGAACCCTAAACCCTAAACCCTAACCCATAAACCCTATACCCTAAACCCTAAACCCTAAGCCCTAAAGCCCAACCCTTATGCCCTAAGCCTTAAATTTAGGTTCAACCCTTCGAAAAGGCTACCGTAGATAAACAGCCCCCTAACCCCTAACCCATAAACCCTACAACCCTAAACCCTAACCCTTAAGCCCGAAACCCTAAGCCCTAACCCTTAAACCCTAAACCCTAAACCCCAACCCTTACCCCAACCCTTGGAAAAGGTTACCGTAGATAAAAAGCCCTAAAGCCTAAACCCTAACTCAGGGGTTTTGGAATCTCTGGGTTTACAGGTAAAGGCGCTTTACGCCTTGGAGCCGCAGATCAAGGCCTGGGCTGACTTTCCCCACCGTCTTCTTTTAGGGTTTAGGGTTCAAGGGCTTATGGGTTTAGGGTTTGAGGGTTTAGGGTTCAAGGGCTTAAGGGTTTAGGGTTTGAGAGTTTAAGGGTTTAGGGTGTGAGGGTTTAGGGGCTAAGGTTTGAGGGCTAGGGTCCAGGGTTTAGAGGTTAGGGTTTAGGGGTTCGGGTTTAAGGGTTATAGGGTTCAGGGTTCAGGGTTTAGGGTTTGGCGGTTAGGGTGTCGGAATTGAACAAATGCACAGGCACACCAACAACGAAGTCTGTGACCGGATATGTATGTATGTGCATGTCGTAGTGGCGTTTATGTCAATGTTTATACTTATGTTTATTGTACATGGTGTTGGTGTTTATAGTCACAGTTATTCACTTAGCAGGTTATGCTTGTTTTCACAGGCATGCTTATGTTTGTGCAAATCTGCTGTACGTGCGAAGGCCTTGCATTCGATGCTTAATTGATTTCGCAGCCATTTCGCAAACTCAACGGCTTGTGCTTGGTGACATGTTGAAACACAACCTCACTTGCTTGGCATGTCTTGATTGATGCTTGAGCCAAACCTCACTTGTCGCTGCAAGTTGTAGCCCGCCACGCGTGTTGATATGTTCCCACGAGCAAGCAAACCTGCACGATCCAGTGTTGATTCAGGCTCTTCAGGTTGAGATACCGATTGCATGATCATTGCAACCACTGCTTTCATGTGTAGTGAGTCATGTTTCCGAAAAGCAGCGGACCACCTCCGACGCCGCCAACATCCACGGCTGTTTACATCAGACAGCGAGTCGAACAAGAGGTCACACAACGATTGGCGGCGACGCCACTTCCCCCTCCACCGCCGCCCCCAGAGCCGGCACTAGTCACCCTTAGTGATGGCAATGTGTCAATCCAGATACACGAAGCACATATGGCCGAGCGATGCCTGCAGCTTATGACGGAACGGGTTGCGCAGGCTGTATTGAGGGATGGGTCAGGAACCCCGAGGAGATCTCATGTCATTTCCACTCCTCCAGCTCTTCCAGTTTTACAGGCCAGTTCACCTCCAGGTCCAGGAACCTGGGAGCTTCCTTGGTCGTGCCTGCAGGTACCGAACATGGACACGTTTTGGTACAGGTTGCACTCGGATTGCCCAGCTCCTTGTGGTGACTCCTTAGATCTTGCGCATCGGTTTATGCCAGAAGCTTTCACGCTTCCTTCAATTTCGGGATTGGAGGTATATGATTTCCCATGGAAAGATCCGAAGCAAGAGCATTGGTATATGCTCGAAAGGATCGTCATGCAGATTCGTCCAAAGCTCATGCGTGACAGTTACAGACTACGAACAGCAGCTGATGCTTGGGGCAATTTTTGCCGCATGCTGATTTTGATTTTCCGCCAGCTGATTCTGCAGTGAACAAGTGGTTTGCTACACTGGTGCAAGCCGCAAACCACCAGTCTCAAATGAGTGTTGTGCTATCTCAAGAAGCCAATTGCCAAATCTGGCACCTGGCAAAAGCTTTAGCCGCTGCCAAGAATGTGTCACGGCTATGTGTGAGCAGTTCCGAGATTTGCTATTGGCTGATACGAGATGGAGCTGTGAAGGGCATTGTGCTCATCCTGCGACGGTCTTATCCTTCTCAGAATCAGGCAGTATTCGTGGCTCCGTTTGCGCATAATACCAACGCTCATGACATGTCGTCAATCCTGACGGAGGCCAAAATACGTCCTAGCTGGACCGGGAATGATGATCTTCCCAGCGTGGGGTTTTATGCCCGGTTGAAGTTCCCAGTTGCTAACATGCGAGTGCCAAGCAATGACCGGGAAGGCCGACTGGCACTTGAAGACTCATTGCTCGCAGCAAGGAAGTTCGGAGGATACAATAGCTCAAGGCCAGTTTGCGCCTTTGGTTGGGTGTATTGCCGTCAAAGCTCTCACCGAAACGTGGCCGGAACGCACAGAGCTGACAATCGTTGGCTGATTCGAAGCTCTCAGGCGATTCTGAGTGGGGTAACTTCTTTCTGGTAGTGGCTTGTACCGTCAATGCGCGAAGACTTGATCGTTGTAAATATGTTGTCAGAGCTTTCTTCACTGACGAAACGACGGGCTTGAGCTGTACTTTACTGTGGAACCTGTTGGTTTTTGGTTGTCTTGTTTTTTTGGGTCTCTGTTCGTTGGCTTTTGTGTTGTTGGCTTTGTTTTGATGGCTGTATTGTCTTAGTTGGACCGCGCCCAGCGCTATTCTGTTACGGCAAGTCTGGGCTTCTGACACTCTTTCGTGAGGCAGGTCGCATCCGGGTGCAAAGAAGGTTTCATTGAGCATTGTACTTGATGCGACCGACCAGAGAGCGCCATTTTGTTACCGACATATGTTCGTGAGACAGGTCCCATCCTGCTGTCAAGAAGGTTTAATTGAGCATCGTGTTTGATGCGACCGACCAGAGAGTGCCATTCTGTTACGGACAGTCTTCCGTGAGACAGGTACCACCCAGGTGCCAAGATCGTTTCATAGGGCATTGTGTTTGACTGCTGCCAGGAACGTTTCATTGAGGACGGCTTTGTTTGCTTGCTTCCTTGGAGTAGTCGGTTTCACACTCACACAGTGGACGCTGGTATCAGGGCAACAACTACGAACCTTTTTGGGTCTTGTTGCATCGCTGTAAGCAAAAGCATGTTGCGGATGAGGTGATTTCCTTTCCTAAGCGCACCATACAGGCATCCAACCTCTTGTGGGTTGTTTTGTCTCATCGACCTGGGAGACACAACGCTCGAATTCTACGCAAACAGTGGCTGAAAGCTGGCGTGCACAAGAAGCTCCGGTTAATCAAAGATGGCTTCCAGCTTGGCAAGATATGTGATGGTGGGCGCCCGTTGAAATACAACGAGGTGGTTATGTATAACTCTTCCCACAGGTGGATCCCAGCTGTTGGTGATTTTCTGAACAAGACGTCTAGACCAATTTTGGGGGTTGTCTACATTGAGTGCACCGCGAGGTGTCAGTTTCAACGCGTGGCTGAGCTGCTCCCTGAGATCAACAGGTTTCCTTCCCGACCGTTGAAGTGGCTGGGGTACCGAAAGTTCCATCGAGCCAAACCGGAAAGGAACAAACATTCCAACCCGGCTTATCAGGGCAGCAAGCTGCTGGTTTTTACCGGGTCTTCATTGCCGCTATGCGCAGGCTTTACATGAAGACGAAGAGGTACTCATATCTGGACCTTTTCTCGCGCAGATCTTTGAAGCCAACCTCCTTTCATGCTCCAGCGACGTCTGTCACTTCTTCCTGCAAGCATTTGTTCGTTTGTAGGGGATGGGAAAAGTGCCCATTGTCCGAGCCAATGAGGCACCGGGTTCCCGGCTCACGAAGCGGCGTTGACTAAAGTAAGACGTCCACTGCAACGGAGTTACTGCTGTCGTCATGCTGCTGATGTCACAACGTTGGTTGTGACGCTTGAACCCCTCTTTTGAGGGGTGTTTGTGCAAATCTGCTGTACATGCGAAGGTCTTGCATTCGATGCTTAATTGGTTTCGCAGCCATTTAGCCAGATCAACGGCTTGTGCTTGGTGACATGTGAAACACAAACCTCACTTGCTTGGCATGTCTTGATTGATGCTTGAGCCAAACCTCACTTGGAAGCTTGACTTTCGACATGTTTTGCTTCAACCTTCAACCAGCTTGACACCACTTTCTGTGGACGGGAGTTGAGTGTTGATTTGGAAAGATATGAGGCTTTTTTCTCATATCGCAAGCCGTTTCCGATCCAAAGTGCAGACACCATGCTTGCCGATGCCAATCTCTTTGCGAAAGTGCAGGGGGGCCGACCACTCACTTCGACCGTCGGCCCGACGAAGAGGGCCAGAGTGTAGTGCTGATATCGATGTGGACGCACATCGACGTACCTGCCAAGTTTTCAATCGATGAATTGCGTTTTTGAAGGTTTCTTCCGAATGTCGAGATTTCGCACGGGGTTTTTGGACGCGCTTGAGGTTGCTACATGAGCCGTTGCCAAACCGGAAGAGCGCCATTTTGTTACGCAGTTCTGTTGGGCTCTCGGTATGTGTTCGCAATGTCAGTCATGTCTCTTTTCGACACAATTGCAGGAATGGGCGAGCCCGAAGAGCGCCATTTTGTTGCGGCAGTCTTGGCCCGGTTTTGGGTATGCGGTGTACTATTCTGGTATTGGCAAAAACTGAACGTGCCAGTTTTGTTTTGCGTTTTGATGACAAGGAGCTGATAATTCGCATCTTGGTCAAAAAAGGAAAAGCAGGACAAGCCGCTCACTTCATGTTTTGCATGTCTCGCTGGCAGCCATGTTTTTGCGCATTGTGTGTATGGCGATGTTTGCGTATTGGTGTTCGTGTTTGTACTTTGTAATTGCGTCTGTTTACACGTGTATGCAGCCGTTTCTACTTGTAGTATTTCTGTTGTGGTTACGGTCAAGTGTTGGGGTTTTGGGGTTTCCGCGTTTGGGCTATTAGTGTTGGATTTGGTGCTTTCGGTCGTTGACTGCGTCAGATTTATTTCAGCTTTCGTCGGCTTTGTACCGGACCCTCTGGCGTATAGCTGCATGAAAACACAGGCCCACGTTTCTCCGACGGATTCCCAGCAAACTTTCGCTTTCGTTTGTTTTCATGTCTTCATATCGTCACACATTGTCTAAAGTTTCGCCTTGCCCACTCCCAACTCCCTCGCACGGCGACACCGTCCTCCTCATGTTCCTCTCTGAAGCCAGGTTCGGGCTTGGGGTCGGCTCTTGTGAGGAGGGTTTAAGGAATGCGTGAGGCGGAGAGGTTTAGGCCTAGACAAAACAGAGCGAGGGGGAATTCGAAGCCTTCGAAGCCCATGTTTCTGGCGTCCTCGTTCTCAGAAGCCCCCTTCTACACCCTAAGCCCAACAACCCTCAAACCCCAAACCCATGAAGCCTAAACCCGTTGACCCGTCAGCTTCGAAAATGTCGAGCCCTGGAAACCTGGAAGCCTTAAGCCCAAACTCCCGAGTGCCGCAGCCAGAGAGCCCAATACCACTTAATTAAGGAGTATAGCTTAGATCATAATATGAAGCCCTATACAATTTAAGCCATATGCCTTAATTGAGGGGTATTGGGCTCTCCGGCTACTCGCTGAAGTGCAGGGTTTATCAGGAAGCAGCATTTTCTTTGTGCGGTTTGAGGGTTTAGGGGTTGAGGGCTTATGGTTTGGGGTTCAGGGTTTGGGGTTCTCCCAAATCCATTGAACCTTTAAACCAAAACCCACGCCCCCGACACGCAACTCCAAAGCCTGCAATATAAAAGCACATGATTTACACAAAGACCGCAGACCCCTACTGAAAGGAGCCTTAGAAACCCTTGTAAAGGAACCCTAAACCCTAAACCTTAAACTAGGAACCCTAAACCTTAAATTCTAAGTTGTTAAGGCCCCAAAGCCTGCCAGCAGGCTCAGTTCCAGGAGTGCGAGGCCGCTTTGGAGAAGGCGACAACGGAAGTGGTTGCGGGGCGTAAGCCCTAAACTTACCTGTGGTTAGTAGGGAATGGAGGAATGGGGTACAATTATAACTACTATTACTACCATTCTTCCATTCCCTACTAACCGAAGATAAGTAAAGTCAAACACGGCACCCTGGATCCAGAAGCAACTTTGAACATGCCTTCAACCCTGCACCTTCAACGACCCTACACCCAAACTTGAAGCTCTGAAACTCTCAAACCTACACCTGAACCCAAAGCCCTAAACCCCTTCGGCCCTCCAAACTCTGAGGCCCACACACTAAACCCTAAAGAGTTTATGGGAACTCTAAAGCAGCCCCCCAAGGAACCCCCAAGTACTTCGGCCAAACCCTAAACCCTCTGAAGGAACCCCTAAAAGGAGCCCTGACAGGAGCCCTTAAAAGAAGCCCTTAGAGGAACCATAAACCGGAACCCTTAAAGTCTTAGAGGAGCCCCAAAGGACTTCGGCCAAACCCCAAACCCTAAACCGTAAAGAAAGCCTGAGCCCGAAAGACTTTTAGAGGAACCCTGAAGGGCTCCTTTAAGGGGTTCCTTTAAGCGTTCCCTCTAAGGGTTCTTCTAAGGGATCTATGTCGGTTTTGGGGTTTAGGGGTTTAGGGTTTAGAGATTAGGGTATAGGGTTTGGTTACAAGGTTACTTTAGGGCCTACTATGAAGGTTCCAGAGCACTTTGCGGGTTTGGGGGCCTGAGTAATTGGCAAAGGGTTTATTTCAGCATACTTATATAGGAAACTATAGAGGGACATGGCCACAAACTGCTACAAAACATGCTCAAGGCCCCAGACCCTAAACCCTCTGACCTATGGCCCCAGGAAGTGGAGCTGGACAAGCTGCGACAACACGTGTGCAAGTGACAGGGAGCCTACAAGTGAGTAAGCCTAAACCCAGCTGTGTTGTAAGGGTTAGGACCTTAACCC